TGCTAGGCACGCTGAGGAGAGGCTTGCGGAGCCCCAATGCGGTTTCAGGAAAGGGCGGTCCTGCACAGATGCCATATTTTCTGTCCGTCTGCTACAGCAGAGGTGTAGGGAATTCCAAAAAGACCTACATCTCTGCTTTATTGACCTGGTCAAGGCCTATGATACCATCAGTAGGCCTGGGCTCTGGGTTGTTCTTCGTGCTTTCGGAGTCCCTGACCCTCTGCTCACGATCATTAAGGACCTTCATGATGGTGAGCGGGCCCGGGTAAAACTACGTGGCCGGGAGTCGGAGCCTTTCCCTGTACACCTTGGGGTGCGACAGGGATGTCCTCTGGCTCCCACATTATTTAACATCTATTTTGACCGCGTAGTTCGTGAAGCCTTCAATAGCTGTACCGGGGGAATTTCCATTTGGTACAGATATAATGGGAGGCTGATCGACGCCCGGGTGCGATCAAGGGATGGCTCCCTATTGGTCAACCACGTTATGTATGCCGATGATTTGGTAATAGCTGCTCACTCAGAGGAGGAGTTGGAGACGCTGCTGCTGAGACTGGAGCGTGCCACTAAGAGGTGGGGCCTTACCATCAGCCCCACCAAAACTAAGCACCTGCCTGGGTATTTTGTACCATCGGACACTCCACCCCCACAACTCCCAATTGGTGATGGGGCAGTTGTGGAGAGAGTGGAGAGTTTCCCATACCTGGGCAGTGTGCTTATGACCGGCTCCAGTCTATCAGCAGAGGTCTCACTCCGAATCAGTCGAGCGGCAATATCTTTTCATCGGTTGCGTAACGCTGTGTGGAAGCTACCTGGTCTGTCGCTCCGCACGAAGCTTCAGGTCTTCTCGGCCACGGTCATTCCCTCCCTTCTCTACGCTTGCGAGACGTGGACCCCCCTGGTGGAGCATCTTCGCCGGTTGGAAACATTTAGGCTGGCCTGCCTACGATCCATCCTGGGTTTAACCAGGCTGGATTGTGTGAGGAGCTCACAAATCCTTGAAAGATCTGGGCAAAGTCCCATCAGTGAGCTCCTCCGGCAGGCAAGGCTGCGTTGGCTGGGTCATGTAGCCCGCATGCCCAGCCACCGCATGCCTAAACAGCTTTTGTTCGGCCGGATCGAGGGGGCTAGACGGGCGCGGCACGGGCTGGAGAAGAGATGGAGTGATGTGGTACAGGAGGACGTGGAGCTGAGTGGACTTGCCGATGACTGGTACCAGCGGTGTCAAGATCGGCCTCTGTGGAGGAGGCTCGTGAAGGACGCTACTGGGCAGTTGGAGGCAGTCGCCCTCCAACAACAACGGAGGGCGGAGGAGCGACGCTCACAACAACGAGCGGAGCGCCGGGTGGCTAAAGCACAGCAAGTTGGCACAGTAGGGGGCACAGGTGGTGCATCAGCCAGTCATCTCGGTCATCTCGGTCAGTCGACCCGTGGCACCTGCTGGGTCTGCCCCGTGACCTCCTGCCAGCGGGCTTTCGACACTTCACGTGGCCTCAAGGTGCACTTGGCCTGGCACAAGCATCGTGGTGACGTCACCGCCACTTAGTGGCGAATGGCGGTTGTTGTTGTTGTTGTTGTTGTCACTGTGTGTGTGCGTGTGTGTCACTGTGTGTGTGCGTGTGTGTCACTGTGTGTGTGCGTGTGTGTCACTGTGTGTGCGTGTGTGTCACTGTGCGCGTGTCACTGTGTGTGTGTGTCACTGTGTGTGTGTCACTGTGTGTGTCACTGTGTGGGCGTGTGTCACTGTGCGTGTGTCACTGTGTTCGTGTCACTGTGTTCGTGTCACTGTGCGTGCGTGTGCGTGTGTGTCACTGTGTGTGCGCGCTTGTGCAGCACAACGTGATGGTGCTTGTGGCCGAGCTCTTCTGGTGGGTGGAGGTGGTGCAGCCGGACTTTGTGCAGCCGTGCGTGGCGCCGCCGCTGCCCGCTGATGGTGAGGCACCGCACCAGCGTGGCTCAGCGCCATCACCTCCCTCGCCCACAAGCACAACCACGCCGCTCCCATCTCACTCTACTCGTAGGGTTTTTTCGGTAAAGTCGCGTGGGTAAAAAATTTTAAAGTTAATAAAAGTCATAATGGAAATGAAAAAAAATGATAATGGAAATAAAATAGTAATGAATCAAATGAAATACTAAATCAAATAGAATAATAATAAATAAAATATTCATAAATAAAATACTATTAAATAAAAGAAAATAATAATAAATAAAATAAAATAATATTAAATGCCATAAAATAGTTAACAATAAAATAAAAGCATATTTTTATTATTATTTATTTTTATTTCCATTATTACTTTCATTAACTTTTAATTTTATTTTTTACCTACGTGACTTTACCGAAAAAAAAAACCTAAGAGTATGAATCCTTGCAGTCACGAAAGCTTCAAATCTAAAATCCCATCTCACTCTCTCATCTCGCTCTCCCATCGGCGCTTTTTCAGAAGCCCTACCATGGCCATCATCGCGTGGAAATTGATATCGGTCAAATACTCCAAAA